CAGCTGCATGTGGAGGAGGAGCCAGGAATCAAACCCAGTTCTCCCAGATTAGGGTTCCCAATCCTAACAACTAGAGCAAACTGGCTCGGAGAGATTGCCGGGCAGCAATTAGAGGTTGGCGGTCCTAGGCCTGCACTGCAGCAGGGTGGCAGCAATGTGGTCTTATCTTCCCCCCCTCCCACACCTTTCCGACAGCCTCCTGTCGCTGTGTTTTCAACCGTAGATCTCTACACACAGGCGATAGCGTTTCTGTCAACATGAACAACTCCACCCGCTCTGGTCCCTGGTCTTTCTTCTACGCGCTATCCTTTCCTGGCATTGGGCTCAGGCCTTTTCAGCAGTACTGCCTCTGCTTAGGGTTGCTAGGTCGAGCCTGGCAACTGGTGGAGGAACTGGGGGTGGGGACATGGGGGTTTACCATAGAGTTTCCAGCAATTCCTATAGCAACCCTTTTGTCACTTCCTGGTCATCTTTTTTTTTTTTTTACAAAATCCTCCTGACTGACGTGACAGCCCAAGGGTCTGATTCAGTTTGGTGTCGTGGTTAAGTGCGCGGACTCTAATCTGGGAGAACTGGGTTTGATTCCCCACGCCTCCACTCACAGCTGCTGGATGACCTTGGGCAAGCCATAGTTCTCTCAGAGCTGTTTCCTCAAGGACAGTTCTGGAAAGAGCTCTCTCAGCCCCACCTCCCTCACAGGGTGTCTGTTGTGGGGAGGGGAAGGGAAAGGAGTTTGTAAACTGCTCTGAGACTCCGAGTGAAGGGCGGGGTACAAATCCAATCTCTTCCTCTTCTTCTCCTCTCAAGAGCAGTTTCTCTCCGAGCTCTCTCAGCCCCACCGCCCTTTCAGGGTGTCTGTTCTGGGGAGGGGGAGGGAAAGGAGTTTGTAAGCTGCTCTGAGACTCTGAGTGAAGGGTGGGGTATAAATCCAATCTCTTCTTCTCTTCAGTATAAGGCATCTTGATGTGTGACCGCATTTGGTTGGCTTTTGAGAAAACTGTGTAAGGCTGAGCTCTTTGGAAGGATTGATTAGCGCCAGGAGATACAGACAGAGGCGAGAATTGCCTTTCCCACCTCTGTATGGGGTCTCCCAGCTCTAATCAGGCGGATCACGTTCTGCATCGTACCTCTGTGTCCTGACTCCAACTGGTCCCTTTTGGTAATCGCCCTTCCCTCCTTCTGACCTGGATATAAGGGCTGGCGCATCTTCATTCTCATCTGACGAAAGTGAGGTTTGACATACAAAAGCTTGTGTGACGGAAAGCGCTGTCAAGTCGCAGCTGTCTTGGTTTTTTCCCATAAACATTTTAGCAATCTTTTAAACGAGTACCAAATAATAACCTTGCGTGTATCAATATTTTCATACCGTAAGACAATAAAACAATTAGTAATGGATAGTATAACAGAATATACAATCAATACCCCGCCAGTTTGGGTGTCTAATCTGGGAGAACCGGGTTTGATTCCCCACTCCTCCACTTGCACCTCCTGGATGATCTTGGGCAAGCAAGAGCTCTCTCAGCCCCACCGACCTCACAGGGTGTCTGTTGTGGAGAGGGGAAGGGAAAGGAGACTCCAAGTGAAGGGTGGGGTATAAATCCAATCTCCTCCTCCTCCTCCTCCTCCTCCTCCTTCACACCAGGTCATTGCCCCAATTGAAACCTGGAACCCTTTTATAATAAAAAAAAAACCCTTTTACAAACTTTTGTAAAAACTGCTATAGAAACTACCATAGGGAGGCACGCAGAATTCTAAAACTGGGTACTACCTATATTCAGCTGTGATACAGTATAAAGTTTTCTAAACGTCGAGCATCCCCACGGGCTCTAAGTCACTAATCTATAAACAGGTTAACAGGATCCTATGTTTAAATATTGACCGATGTTCGCATTTTGTTTGCCCTTCTTCTGTCTTAACTACAAGTGGGTACCACTTATCCATTGGATTATATAATTCTTGCTCATTACTGGCACTTTTGGCATAAACAGAAAAATTCTCTAACCGCAGCTGACTTACAACAACGCCATACGGTTTTCAAGGCGAGAAATGAGCAGAGCTGGGTTTGTCATTGCCTGCCTCTGCATTAGGCTTGCCAAGTTCCCCCCGGGGGGGGGGGGCAGGGAAAACCCCGCCCCAGAGGCCCGTTTTCCGCCGGTGGCGGATCGGGCCCCGGGGGGAACCCCACCCCGATGTGCACGTCACCTGGAAGTGACGCAACCACGCCGGGCACGCTGGGGGCGGGGCCATGGTCATCCAAGGGGAAACTCTATGGTTTTCCCTTGGATGGTCGTGACCCTTCCCCCAGCGTGCCCGGCCGATTTTATAGTTATGTTTCATGGCCGTTATTTATTGTTTTATCTGTACTGTTGTGTAACCGCCCTGAGCTTTATTGTGCAGGGGAGGGAGAACTAGAAATCAGATATAGTAAACAAAGAACAAATCATGAATACTCTTTTGCATCCGGCTGCATGCTTCCATTTCCCTGCGGGGCAGAGCTTTGACGGAGCGGTCACTAACAGATGCACAGTAACCGACGCGATAATAGCAGAGGCGAGGATGACGGCCACGATAACCACTGACACACTAACCCTAACTCCTTTCTCTCTCCTCTCCTCTCCCTCCTTTGCTTTCTCGATGGCGAAGATGACCTACAGAACCGTAAGTCTTTTATGGATGGGGCAGTGGAGATTGGGCAGGTGGGGCGGGGTAGAGGGAACCCAATCAGGGATTGCATTTCGGGGGCGCCTTCAGTGGGCCTCAATTTGAATCTTGCCGCCTTTTAGTCATGTCCTTCTGTGAAGCGTCATGGTTTTATGACAGCCTACAAACACCGAGTGGGTTCTAGATCCAATCAAGCCTGAATTCTGCCCTAGAAGCTAAATGACCCATCTGAAGGCTGTCGCACTTTGGCCACGTTATGAGAAGACCGGAGTCACTGGAAAAGACAATCCTGCTCGGAAAAGTGGAAGTGGAATTGCAAAAACAACATCCCTGACAAAACTAATGAAGAGTCAATGAAGATAAGTTGCAAAAATGTTGACTGTAGTAATTTCTGTAGAAAATCTTCTATTATCGCTCAGACGCTGACGAATACTGTACAACGAACAATTCGTTTCACAATATTTGCTTTATCTGAGCGTGTAGCAATCCCAATTCTTATCAATCACTACTTAACTCCTGAAGGAAACATTCCATGTTGACTCTCTAATAACAGAACCCGAGGTCTTCACAATGTATTCATGGGATGTTTCCTTTGGGAGCTGATAAGTAGTGATTTTTTAAGAACTGGGGTTGCTAATAAATGAAACGGAAAATGGAATTGGGATTGCTACACGCTCAGATAAAGCAAATATTGTGAAACGAATCGTTCATTGCGCAGTATTGGTTAGCGTGTGAGCGATAATAGAAGGAAAATTTCTACAGCAATTACTTCAGTAAACAATTTTGCAACTTATCTTTATTCTTTGTTATTTTTTGTCACGGATGTCGTTTTTGGGATTTCATTTCCTCCCGTGATCTCGCATTTTTGGCTTCTAAGGAAAAGTGGACGGGCAGGAGAGAAAGAGGGAGGCCCAACAGGAGAGGGATGGACTTGATCAAGTTTGCAAGACCGAAGTATGACCGTTAACCGTTGGACATTTGGGAGGTCGTTCATTCATAGGGAAGCGCAGGGCTATTTTGGGGCAGGAACGCACAGGAACGGAGTTCCGTCTGGCTCCCAAGTTGGCCACGCCCAGCAGGAACTCATTAGCATAATAGGCCACACCCAACAGCAGAAATTCATTAGGATTGGCTACATTAGGGGTGTGTGGCCTAGCATGCAAAGGAGTTCCTGCTACAAAAAAACCCTGGGTTTTGACAACAAACAAGGTAAACAGAGTAAGAAGCAAAAGGTGGGTGTGGCTGGATGAGCACACTTCTGGTAGCATGGGGGTGTGACCTAATAGGCCAATGAGTGGTGCTGTCAGGGGTGTGGCCTAATATGCTAATGAGTTTCTGCTGTTGGGTGTGGCCTATTATGCTAATGAGTTCCTGCTGGGCTTTTTCTACAAAAAAAGCCCCCGGAAGCGTATCTATCCTGCGCTGTGCGAGCTGCACTGGCTGCCCATTCAGTACCGGATCCATTTCAAAGTGCTGGTGCTTACCTTCAAGTCCTATCTGGGCCGGAGCCTGCGTATCTGTGAGACCACCTCTCCCTCTGTGAGCCCCAAAGGGCTTCACAATCTGCCAGTTAGCATCTTCTGGTTGTCCCCGGCCCCAGGAACGTCCATCTTGCCTCATCAGCCCTGGACCCTACCAGGTGGAATGAGCTCCCATATGAGATCATGAACTTTTTACAGTTCCGCGGGGCCTGTAAGACAGAGCTCTTCCCCCACCCCCCATTGGGCCTCCCCTTCAGCGGGTCAGATCCGTGTTTACCATCCAGGAACCCCAACCTGACAAACCTCATCTGTTGAGGCACTGCTTAGCACACAGGGATTCTGTTGTATTTTTATTGACGTATTCTCGTCGTTTTGAAGTTTTTGTATACGGTAATTGACAGAACCCGCCCAGAGCCTGCTATGCGGGGAGGGCAGGATACTGATTCAATAAAATCAGGGCCTTTTTTGGTAGAAAAAGCCCAGCAGGAACTTATTCGCATAATAAGCCACACCCAATAGCAGAAACTCATTAGCATATCAGGCCACACCCTGACAGCACAGCTCATTAGCATATTAGGCCACATCCATGCCTTCCCTTGGCTTGCCCTTGAAGGGAAGGGAAGGCAGTTTAAACTGCCTTCCCTTGGCTTGCCTGGGCAAACCAGCCCTTGGAGTCGCCGGGGGAAGGGTCGCTCTCCAGGCCTTCCCTCTGTAGCCACGCATGCAGAGGTTTTGGCTGTAGTGGGCGTGGCCAACTCTGAAGTCAGCCGGAACTCCGCCCCTGTGCGTTCCTGCCCCCCCAATAGCTCTGAATAAAATAAATAAATAAATAACTTGGAAGAGACTTGACACTCACCCACGCCAGAGCGTGATACAGGGAACCCAGCTGTGTCGAATCTCCGGTTCCTGCTTCTAAGAACGTAAGAGGAGCCAATGTTGGATCAGGCCAATGGCCCCTCTTGTCCAACACTCTGTGGCACACAGTGACCAAAAATACCAGGTGCCCTCAGGAGATCCAGCAGTGGGGCCAGGACACCAGAAGCCCTCCCACTGTTGCCCCCCCCCAAGCACCAAGAAGACAAAACATCACTTGCCCCAGAGCCCCTATCGATACCTTGTGGCTAACACCCACTGATGGACCTCTGCTCCATATGTTTATCCAATCCCCTCTTGAAGCCGTCAATGCTTGTAGCTGCCACCACCTCCCATGGCAGTGAATCCTGTGTGTTAATCACTCTTTGGGTGAAGAAGGACTTCCTTTTATCCGGTCTAACCCGACCGCTCAGCGATTTCATGGAGTGCCCGCGAGTTCTTGTGTTGTGAGAAAGGGAGAAAAGGGCTTCTTTCTTGGCCTGCTCTGTCCCACACATCATCTTGTAAACCTCGATCATGTCTAACTTTGCTCTCTGCCTCTCTCTGTTCCACAGTGTGGAAACCACCCGAATTCACCGAGCAGCCAGACGAGCAGATCGTGGTGCTCCCCAATGACGACATCGTTCTGAAGTGCAGCGCCACGGGGAACCCCCCTGTGACGTGAGTATGGGGAATCCCCCCCCCCTTGAAAAGAGCACCTGGGAGTGCCTTTCTGCAGAGTTTTTAAGGCACCGACTGTTAGTAGCCGAAGCGCTGGATTGAAATTGGAGGAGAGTCGCTGTGAATAGAATCCTAGACAAGCGATACAAGAAAAAAACTGTGTGAAAAAACCCGGTAAGAATAAACCAAAAGGAACAATGTCTATAATATATCACTCTTCAAAATACAATTACACACAAGTTTTGTACAGATATCCAACAGGTAAGTAGTAGGCAAACATTCAACAGGTAAAGACAATGTAAGTTCCAATGCTTTCCGCAACAAGTGTCGATACCAATGTTTCAGCAGTAAGTACAATTGGCACTCAACAGGTCAGCGCTTACAGCAAGAATTTAACTAACATTCACCAGGTGAAGACAATTCCAATATGATATTATAGACATTGTTCCTTTTGGTTTATTCTTAGCGTTTTTTACACAGTTTTTTCTTGTGTTGCTTGTGTATTACTGTGTAATCGCTTTGTGGTCACTTAGTTTTGAATAGAATCATAGAGTTGGAAGGGTCCTCCGGGGTCATCTAGTCCGACCCCCTGCACAATGCAGGGAATTCACAAATACCCCCCACACCCAGTGACCCCTGCACCATGCCCAGAAGATGGCAAAAAAACCTTCCAGGATCCCCGGCCAAACTGGCCTGGGGAAAAATGTGCTGCCTGACCCCAAAGTGGCGATCAGCATTTCCCGGGGTGTGTAAGAAAGGGCCATGAGAACTAAGCACTGAGGCAACCCTTCCTGCCCTCCTTCCTCGAGATCTGCCTATGTTCACAGAATCCGCATGGCTGTCCGAGGGCCATCTAGCCTCTGCTTGAAAACCTCCCAAGAAGGAGAGCCCGCCACCTCCCGAGGAAGCCTGCTCCACTCAGGAACCCCTCTTAATTGTCGGGAAGTTCTTCCTCATGTTTAGCGGAACACTCTTTTGATTTAATGTGAACCCGTCGGTTCTGGTCCTGCCTTCTGGGGGCAACAGGAAACAACTCCACAGCATCCGCTGTAGGACAGCCCTTCAAGGACTTGAAGAGGGTTATCCTAGTCGTCTCCTCTCCAGGCTAAACAGACCCAGCTCCTTCAACCTTTCCTCACAGGACTTGGTGAAAGACTACAGGATACTCTGATGTGGGGGGGGCAGTCCAAAGTTCGGTAGAAAGATTCCTACCTGCTTTCCTCACACAGCCATCGCCGCGGTTACCAAAGTCCATGTGGGGCCTGGAGATCTCCCTGAATTATCGGTCTTCTCCTGGATCAGTTTTCCCGGAGAAAATGGCTGCTTCGAAGGGCGGGCTCTCTGGCTTTATCCTACTCCGCCCTCCTCAGGCCCCGCCCCCAAATCGCCAGGCATTTATCTATTTACTTTATGTCTCTCCCACTGTCCTCCCCAGTGGGGACCCAGAACGGCTTACCTCATTCTCCTCTCGTCTGTTTCGTTCTCACAAGAGCCCCATGAGGTAGGATAGGCTGAGGGAGTGTGGCTGGCCCGGGTTCACCCGGCAGGCTTCCATGACAGAGGGGCAATTCAAACCTGGGTCCCCCAAATCCGAGACTTTAACCACTGGATCACACTGCCTCTGTTTCCCATCCAGGAACTGGTAACCCTAGCCATCACTAGTATTAAGGGAGGAAGGAAGGCGGTATGAGATAGCCAATCTCGTCAGACCTCAGAAGCTAAGCAGGGTCGGTACTTGGAGGGGAGACCACCAAGGAAGGCTGTGCAGAGGAAGGCGATGGCAAACCACCTCTGCTTCTCGCTTGCCTGGAAAGTTCTTAGCCGGGGTCGCCATAAGTTGGAAGCTAAGCAGGGTCGGTACTTGGATGGGAGACCACCAAGGAAGGCTCTCCAGAGGAAGGTGATGGCAAACCACCTCTGCTTCTCACTTGCCTTGAAAGGCCCTTGCTGTGGTCACCATAAATTGGAAGCTAGGGAGAGTCGGTACTTGGAAGGGAGACCACCAAGGAAGGCTCTCTGCAGGATGGCAATGGCAAACCACCTCTGCCTCTTGCTTGCCTTGAAAGCACCTTGCTGGGGTCACCGTAAGCTGGAAGCTAAGCAGGGTCAGTACTTGGAGGGGAGACCACCAAGGAAGACTCTGTGGAGGAAGGCAATGGCAAACAACCTCTCCCTCTCACTTGCCTTGAAAGCCCCTTGCTGGGATCACCGTAAGCTGGAAGCTAGGGAGAGTCGGTACTTGGAAGGGAGACCACCAAGGAAGGCTCTGCAGAGGAAGGCGACGGCAAACCACCTCTGCTTCTCACTTGCCTTGAAAACCCGTTGTTGGGGTCACCATAAGTTGACAGCTAAGCAGGATCAATACTTGGAGGGGAGACCACCAAGGAAGGCTCTGCAGAGGAAGGCCACGGCAAACCACCTCTGCTTCTCGCTTGCCTTGAAAGCCCCTTCTTGGAATCTCCAGAAGCCAGTGGTGGTAACTTGATGGCACTTACATACATCGTGTAAAGTAACTGTAGTCTTTGGGTCAGCCATTTTCTCTCAGCGTAACCTACTTTACAGGGTTGTTGTGAGGTTACAGTGGAGGAGAGTGATGTAAACCCCTCTGGGTCCCCACTGAGAAGGAAGGTGGGTTGTAAGAACATAAGAACATAAGAGACACCAATATTGGATCAGGCCAAAGGCCAATCCAGTCCAACACTCTGTATCACACAGTGGCCAGAAATACCAGTGCCATCAGGAGGTCCACCAGTGTAAATAAAGTGAGAGGCAAGATTCGAACTTGTTCAGAGCTCACCGTACCCTATGCTAGCTATAGGTGTGACTCTAGATGTGGTAGAGTAATGGACAACGGTGGCCCAGCTACCAGTGGTGTAGGTTGTGCCCGTAGTTTGCTGACATGAGCATACCGGCTCCGTGCCAATATCCTCTCTCGCAGCTGCCAAACTGCTCTGCGCCAAACAAATACCGAATCCCACAGAAATTCAGACGTCCGGCATGCAAATGAAATATCCCTACGCCAGAGCCGTCACTATTATGAGGTTTAGCCGCTTCATTGAGCCTTGCGATATTCTGTCTGCATACATTTGCACAGGAATAAGCGGTACTTCTGAAAGGACAAAAAACCCACCCGCTTTGTTTTTCGGCGAGGCGTACCGGCGTCACGTCCGGCACCGTCCTGGAATTAGCACGGTAACGTCGACTCCATTCATCAGTCCCGTTAACGGATTAAAAGCTTTTTGAGGGACGAAAAAGCTTACACAGCAGATTTTGCAGAAACGCTGGGCTCGCCGGCGGTATATTAAGCCATTAATCTGCATTACATTTTTGAGCATCATGCCGGATGTTTTCCTAGGCCGGGCTGTGGACAGCTCCCAGGCGTGGTTTCAGTCACTGCTTTCCAGTTTGGTGTCATGGTTAAGTACGCGGACTCTAATCTGGGAGAACCGGGTTTGATTGCCCACTCCTCCACTCGCAGCTGCTGCAGGATTTTGGGCAAGCCATAGTTCTGCCAGAGCTGACCTTGAAAAGAGGAGTTTCTGTCAGAGCTCTCTCACCCCACCTCCCTCACAGGGTGTTTGTTGTGGGGAGGGGAAGGGAAAGGGGTTTGTAAGCCGCTCTGAGACTCCTTCTTCTTCTTCTTCTTCTTCTTCTTCTTCTTCTTCTTCTTCTTCTTCTTCTTCTTCTTCTTCTTCTTCTTCTTCTTCTTCTTCTTCTTCTACCTCACAGGGTGTCTGTTGTGGGGAGGGGAAGGGAAGGGAGTTTGTAAGCTGCTCTGAGACTCCGAGTGAAGGGCGGTGTATAAATCCAATCTCCTCCTCCTCCTCCTCCTCCTCCTCTACTACTACTACTACTACTACTAGTACATTGTACTACTACTAGTAGTAGTACAATGTAGGATATTTCTCATTCTGGAGGATTCCTAGGTTTTCTTGTGCATTCCCTCTCGGGACCTACTTTATGCTTCCGTATGACGCTCTGCTAATCGTCCCTGACCTTACCCTGACCTCCGCGGATCACCTAACCTGTGCCTTTGTCTTCTCCCCAGCTCTTGTGAATTCTTTCCCAACCCCCTTGCCTTGCATTTCCATAATCGGATCTGATCCCACAATCACAGTGGTGTCGCTGCTCAACCTCCCCAACCCCGAGTGCTGGAAACCCGGAGTTTACAGCGTCATCCCTAATAATCTTCTGAAAGAACGAAGTCTGAGTCCGGTGGGCTGTTCCCTCTAAGCTGTGGAGTCCTGTGAGCAAAAATTCTACTTTGTGAGCTACTGGCATTAAAGCTGTGAGCGAGCGATTTGGCTGCTGCATAAATATGAGTTTGCTCTGGAGCCCTCCTTCCCGAGCTAAGTCAAAAAGTGCGTGAGAGCCAGAGGCTAAAAAACTGTGAGCTGGCTCACACTGACTCAGCTTAGAGGGAACACTGCGCAGTGGCCCCTTTAAGACCAACAAAGTTTAATTCTGGGTATAAGCTTTCATGTGCATGCAGACTTCTTCGGATACCCGAAGAACAACGTTTGAGCCCAGTGGCACCTTTAAGACCATCAACGTTTAAAATAAAGTTTCATTCTGGGTAGAAGCTTCCGGGTGCATGCACACTTCTTCCCGGCTGCTACCTAACATGTGGTGGGGTGTAGTGGTTAGAGTGTCATACGAAGATCCGGGTTCAAATTGCCACTCTGCCGTGGAAGCTTGCTGGGCGGCCTAGGGTCAGTCCCCCGTTCACAGCCTCACCTACCTCGCAGGGTGTTTGTTGTGAGGATACAACCGAGGAGAAGAGAGAGAGAGAGAGAGACCACTTTGGGTCCCCCTGGGGAGAAAGGCGGGGGAAGGGTTGCCAGCTCCAGGGTGAGAAATACCTGGGGATTTGGGGTGGGGTGGGGGTTTTTGGTGAGGGGAGGGACTTCGTTGAGGTACAGTGCCACAGGGTCCACCTTCCAAAGCGGCCGTTTTCTCCAGTCTGAGAGCCAGTTTGGTGTAGAGCTGAAGTGCGTGGACTCTAATCTGGGAGAGCTGGGTTTGATTCCCCACTCCTCCACTTGCACCTGCTGGGTGACCTTGGGTCAGTCACAAGTTTTCCCAGAGCTCTCAAGGGCAGTCCTCGAAAGAGTTCTCTCAGCCCCACCTACCTCACAGGGTGTCTGTTGTGGGGAGGGGAAGGGAAAGGCGTTTGTAAGCCGCTCTGAGACTCCTTCGGGTAGTGAAGGGCGGGGTATAAAGCTAA